GAGAGACGAGGAGGAGGAGGAGGAGGAGGAGGGGGAGGGCACCTCGGGGTCGCTCCTCCTCACATCTGTATCTTTGAGGTCCAGCTGTTTGTCTCCCTCCGTCCTCTCAGGCCCGTCCCGTCCTCCAGAGCTGGACGCACGGCTGGGTGGACAGAAACATGGTGGGAGGTTTGAGACGGAGCAGCAGGATGAAGGCTGACAGCAGGAGGAGGAAGAGGAGGAGCGGGCACAGAGCCAGCTGCTGCCCCGTCCGGAGGCCAAGGTCATGACGTGGAGCTCTCTGACGATTCTGTCATGTTGAGAGGACGAGATGGACGAGACCAGGCTGCAGGGGACCAGAGACACACAGCTGTTCCACATCAGCACCTGAACGCTCCCTAAACCATCAGCTGGTGCGTCACACAGAGACAGAGACACATCAACACTTTATATTAAGAGCTAATAATTATCTAATAATAATATATTTCATTTTCTCCTTTTTCTAAAACTACTGACATTAAGTTAAATATTAAAGATAAGAAGGAAAAACACCAACGAGAGGAAAGAGAGAAATATAAAGAAACTGATTTAAACTTCAGTCACAATGTTAGAATGTAGATGTGCATTAAAAGTATATCATGGAACGAAATCTAATTTAAAGTTTAATATTAATGAAAAATATGAAATGCAGTTAAAGTAAGTTATGAAATATCAAAGACAAAAACGAGCATAAACAGAAACAGTCATGTTGTCAGGAACAAACTGATTCAAACACATGAACATGTAAATACACGTTTTAAAAAGTGCATCACTTAATATCACAAACCAACACTATCTAACCTCCTAAACCATCTCTGCGTTGTGCGGCCGCCATCACTCTCCCCGGCCCGTATCTCCTCAGATCTGGTTCCCATGGCGACAGGACAGCATCACCAGATACCAGACAGTGCGTGTGACGTTTGCTGAGGTTCAACATGTCGAGAGAACAAACCAGCTGCTTCTGAGAGGAGACGACCCCCAGACCAGCTCCTCCTGGATGGTCGAACTCCACGACCCAAACTCCTCCTCCTCCTCCTCCTCCTCCTCGGCCCTGAGTGTGGACACACAGGAAGAAGACATGTCTCTGTTACTGGGCAGCCTGAGAGGTGTCAGTTAACCTTTAACCCTGAGCACTGCTGAGGAGCAAATACTGAACCCTCAAACTGCTCCAGGGGCCCGTAAGATGATCGACCCTCTGCTGTAACTGTGTGTGTGTGTGTGTGTGTGTGTGTGAGGTGTGTAATAAGACACATATTTGAAAGACACATGTCAGCTGCCTCGTGTGGACAGACAGTCTGTGATGATGTGGACATGTTGTCTCTGCTGAGTTGACTCAGATCACTGAGATCTGAGAATGAAAAATGACTTTCAGATTTCATGTCGCCTCGTTTATAAACAGTATAACCTGTTAACTTCAGGTTAAGTTCAGGTTAACTTCAGATTGAGTTCAGGTTAACTTCAGATTGAGTTCAGGTTAACTTCAGATTGAGTTCAGGTTAACTTCAGATTAAGTTCAAGTTAACTTCAGGTTAACTTCAGATTAAGTTCAGGTTAACTTCAGGTTAACTTCAAATTAAGTTCAGATTAAGTTCAGGTTAACTTCAGATTAAGTTCAGGTTAACTTCAGGTTGTCTTTAAAAAGTCATTATAGTGAATATTTGGAGTCCGATGTCTCTGAGTCACAGACGCAGGAGACGTCTCACTAACACATGAATCCAGAGCTGTTCTGCAGCTTCCTGTCGTCAGTTCGATCCTCAGTCAGTGAAACGTGATCAGGTGATTGACACCTGTCTGTAAATATGATCACATGTCACCATGCAGCGTCTCCTCACCTGTACTTCCTGTATCACAGTTCCTACGTAGTAGAAACCGTCCACCTCCCTCCTGGCCAGCACTCGGCATCCTGGGAAAAACTCCGGAGCGCCCAGTGTTTGACCAGACAGCATGTAAGGATTACCCAGACTGCACCTGGGTGACCACAGGAGGCCCAGAGACACGTGTACAGTACAGGTACGTCATTTCATCCACAGCACACGACAGTATCTGAGCAAACCTGTGTAACCATGGAAACCAACCTGAGCAGAGGGGACGACATGCTGTGTAGATTTAATGAGCAGAGACACTTGACTGGCTCTGATGACTCACTCTCCACGACAGGAAACACCTGGTGATGGATATCAACGTGACATAATCAGAAATAAACACAACAACAGTGACATGAACAAAACATATAGAAAGTAAATATATAATGCAAACAGAAATATATAGAGAGGGAAAAAAGAGTGTTTCAATATTAAAACAAACAGGTGTAGATTTTGGGCAGAGACCCAGGACACGTGTCCTCCTCAGTATTTTAAAAGCTTCCAATGAAACATGAACATAGTCGAGGAGTTTAACTCCGTCCAGCTGTTAGAGCACGACGCAGAAATGTCTCTGGTAAAGTCGATGGTGTCTGACCTCAGAAACAGTCTGACAGGAAGTAGATGAAGCAGCTGTTCGTGGTTAAAGCGAGAAGAACTGTAACATTTACACCAAAACTTTAACCAGGAGACGCACCAAACATTCCAAAGTTTGTTGGGAGGCCCTCAGACCTCCTGCTGAATATGTGATGTTTGTGATGTTGCAAACACCTTTGTTCATGCATTTACACGTTCATGCACTCACACACCGCCTCACAAACACTTCAGCTACTCGCCACATTTCAGCCTCTGAGGGTTACAATGATGGATGGAGCTGCAGGTCACAGTTAGAAACATTCACACCAGTTTATCACCAGTGAGTTGAGTCTCACCTTCTCCAGCAAGCCACTCTCACCAACAGGAATCATGTAACAGCTCCCCCTGGTGGCGCGGCTCAGACACTGCAGGTAGTCTGAGGTGTGTCTGTCCAGGTGAACACCTGAGTCCTGCAGGTAGAAGATGTTAACGGGCCTCCCTGCTGACAGGACGGGCAGAGCTGCCAGGACGGCCTGTGATTGGTCAGGGAGGTCGGTGCAGAGCAGGTGGACGCAGTGACAGGCGGAGTCAGAGAGGGCCACGCTCAGGGCCGCCAGGAGGTCTCTGCCGGGGCCACAGCTGATGGAGTGGATCCAGGACAGAGACATGTAGACGGTGTCCGGAGCACAGGGGAGCATGTGGTGGGACCAGCTCATCACCTGCAGAGTAAAGAGACAGAAGATCACCTGAGAGCTGTCCTCGTCCTCCGGCTGTGTGTCAGTGTCTGTCAGTCCGTCCTCACCTTCTCTGAGAAGGTCAGGATGTTGAACAGAGAGTCTCTGAGAGAAGCTTTCATCAGCAGCGTCTGAATCAGCAGCCGCTTCACTGACCCCAGAGCAGCTCTCATCTTCTCTGAGCTCTCCACCACAAACGTGACGTTACACCTCAGTTTACCCACAAACACAGGAAGCAGTGCAGCCTGACAGGCCGCCGTCCGTCTGGACATCATCCCCACACTTTAGTCTGTATCAGAGCGGTTTGACATCATCTGAAAATCCAGAGTAACTAAAAAAAAGATCAGAGATAAAAATCAGACAAGTTACTGAAAACAAAGAGACTAAAACAAAAACAAAATTCTTTGCATTTATAGTTTATTTTTTTGCACTTTTGGTTCAACCTTTTTAATGAGTTTTGTAGATGCAAAGTTTAAACGTCTGACACACCCAGTGAAACATAAAGTGGTTCAGTTGTACTGAATATTTTACAGCACAAATAAACAGGCTCCAGGAGAGCCAGGTTCATACCTGCAGGCTGAGGCTGAGGCTGAGGCTGAAGCTGAGGCTGAAGCTGAGGCTGAGGCTGAGGCAAGGAGACAAACAGCCTTTACACTGACCCTCAGATCCTCTGAAATGTTTCGGGGCCACTCACAAATTTAATGTAGAAATGCCACAAATACCAGAAACAGTAACACTGAATCTTCCTGCTTGTTTTGTTCAAAGATCAAAATTCACTGACACATGAATCTGAATGTGACATCTGACACACTCTAAAGAAGGATTCATGCTGTTTGTGGATAACGCTTCAAATAAATTATTTTTTTCAGCATAAAAAAATGTTTGAAGTGTTTTAATCAGCTGACAACTTATTTGTGTAAATTGTTCAAAATCATACGTATTCTTGACACTTCGAATAGAGTGAAATTAAAATAAATGAGAATATTTTGAACTAAATAATCTGACCCATAGCTGGAGTGACTTCACAGATTTTAAAAACAAAACATGTGATGAATTTATAAAATATGACCCTATGATACAAATAAAACTGTCATCAGTATCTGAAGAAGTGAAAATGTGCTCCACCAGCTGTAAAGTTAAAATGCATTTATACACATAAAAGCATCAGTGATAATATTCCAGTTATATGATTATATATCATAATAAAACTCTCTGAAATAACCAACAAAGACTTTCAAACTGAACCTACAGTCAGCTGTTCAGACTTTTACTGAGTGAAATCTTGAATGTAGGATTTTTTTTTTTTTTCAGGAAAGTACTATTACTTTTACCTCAGTAAAATATCAGAGTACTTCTTCCTCCACAGATCAGAGTTTCCTCCTCTTCAGACGGATGACAACAGGAAACACGTGTCATGTTGATGTTACAGGAAGCAGTTAGGGACATTTCTCTTTAGTCTTATAACACAGATAAATAAAGTCAGAGGGTTCGTTACCTTCAGTCAGCTGCAGACGACAGCCTCGCCTCACTGTTGCTGTTGGTTTCCATGGAGACATGTTCAGACCCACAGTCAGTCTTCTTCATGTCCACTGGAGGGACTGGAGCGTTACCAAACACTACTGTCATGTTACAGTTGTTATGGTGCCGTCAGAGGTCAGCTGATCTCTGCTTCCTTTAACCTGACAGACAGGAGTGAGACCTGATCTCTGCTGAGCCTCCTCTGGTTTTACTGACAGCTTTAATCACCTCGGACATTAACGAGCTTTGTTCTGTGAAGATTAAACTTCTTGTGGAAATGATGCAACAATACAGAGAAACTTTGACATGATTTTATTTGATACTCAGTGCTGCACTTTGTTACAGTCGCAGGATAAAACACATCACAGGTGCTGTTATCATCTCTGTGAAGGTTAAAGGCAGTGGCCTCGATGCAAAGACACGTTTTAGACTAAAAAACACTTTGACAACATTATAAAATACAGCAGAGAAACAGTCTGCAGGAGGTTGTGCTACATGTATCAGCTACAGCTCACAGGAAGTAAAAACCTTCGCTCCCCAGTGACACATAAACACCACTGTGTGTCTGACAGAATAATATTTATTAATCAGAAACACAGAGCTATAAATCACCTCTGATCAGTAATGTTCCAGCTGAACGACACGTCCGACTGCAGTGAGCTACAACATGAGGCTACATGTTACTGCTACATGAACAAGTGTCTGTGAGAACAGCTGCTGCTGCTGCTGCTGCTGTGTATGTGAGGTCAGAGTCTGAGTCATTACTGCTGCAAACAAACAAACAAACAAACAAACAGGCAGAGTGAGAATTCATCAGGTGAATCTGAAGTTCCTCAGAGAGGCGTCCAGCTGTCAGGATAAATAACTGTGCTGCTTTTGGTCACTGTGTTGTTGTTGTTGTTGTTGTTGTTGTTGGGATGCAGAGAGCTCACAGGTACCTAAAGTCAGAGGAGCTGTAGAGTAAAAAGAACAGAAGAAGAAGAGAAACAGCTGGACAGTTTACATCAGGTGAGTTGGACTATCATCTACCTAAAACAGGAAGTGCTCTGTCAGCAAACAGGCTGATAAAGATCAGAGTATCTCACCTCTCATTAACAGACTGATAAAGATCAGAGTATCTCACCTCTCATTAAACGTCTTTTTGACAAACTGTAGTTGTTCTCTGACCGTCGTCCCAAACACCAACATCTGCCTCTCCGTGTCGATCACACTCTGCAACAACAAAACAAAAGACATGTAGTCAACATGTAGGAGATGACACAGCGTTTCCTCTGGAAGCATCTTGTTCAGTTATTTACTCGTCTGGTGGTGAGAACAGTGACGTCATTTTGTCTGTTAGTTTATTAACTCTCATCCTCGTATCTGAGTTCACAATGACCTTTAACTGTTCCCGCTGTGACTGGGTGAATGATGAATGATGAATGAATGAGTCTGAGCAGTGGAGGATTTACCTTCAGTGACTTTAACGTCTTGTTTCCCAGAGACATCAGAGGTTTGTTACTTTCTGCAAAGACACATGATCAATGTCTGTAAATCACCAGCATCAAACTGTCTTATTTTCAATGGTTTTAATTCTTCTTCCTCACCGATGACAGTGAAGGAGCTCGTTATTCTGAGCTGGCCCAGAGTCAGACTGAGCTCCCTGATGTGTCCGTCCATACAAAGCTTCCTCTGAAATGGGAAACCATCTGTTTCCTCTTTGTTCTCCTCCACCAGATCCTTCAAACTTTGAGACAAACACAAAATGACTCTCTGAACACATAAAGTGACCTAATGTTAATAAAACAGACAGATAACAAACGTCTCACCCTAATCTCTGCACAGTCTCTGACGACATCAGGTTCAGTCTGCAGCCTGTGTCAATCAGCAGCTTCACCTTCTGTCCCAAACACTGCACACATCAAATATTAAAATTATAAAAACACCACAGCAACACAGTTTGTGCTAAAACTCTGATCACTTCTTGACGCTCTGACTGAAGACGTGTACAGATATAAAACCTAAATGACTGATTACAGTTCTGATGAAGTCATAACAATATAATCTATTTTAAAAGTAATCTAAATATTTGTTTTATGTACATATTCACTGAGTCACCTTGCAGGGCACATAGATGAAATCTTCCTCCTCCTCTTCCTCCTCATCCTGATGTGAATTAAACTGGGAACATGTCAGGAGCAGTGCTCCGCTGTTCGGTGTGACTCCACACAGGTTCATCCGTCCTCGGGTCAGTTTGGCCTCCAGCAGGCGCTTCTGCAGGATGTGATGAGGCTGCTGTGACATCACAACAAATACAGTTAGAAAATGTGACCACGTGTTGGTTCATACTGAGTGATAGAATATGTTAAAAAAAAAAAGGTTGTTTTTTTAAATTATTTTTCAGTATGATAAACAGAAATAGTAAAAAGTCAGAAGTATAAAATAATAATATAAATAATGATGATGATGATGGTGATGATGAAGATAAACACATGTATCCTGACCCCCTGTTTGTTTAACAGTAGTATAACAGAACGCACAGTAGGCCTGTAATGATAATAATGATAATAATAATAATAATGATGATGATGGTGATGATGATGGTGATGGTGGTGATGGTGATGATGATGATGGTGATGGTGGTGATGGTGATGATGAAGATAAACACGTGTCCTGACCCCCTGTTTGGACGTGCCGAGCTTCTTGAGTCCGTCCAGAGGAAGCAGGTCAGCTGAGTCTTTATGGAGGAACTGGATCGCCTGTTTGAGTCTCCTCTGCTGCCTCAGAGCTGCAGGGTCCAGGACCACCGGCTCCCCCCGGGGCTCCGTCCGGTTCTCCCCCCGGGGCTCGGTCCGGTTCTCCCCCCGGGGCTCGGTCCGCAGCCCGGTCAGCATGTCGGTGAGTCAGACCTGATCCTGGAGACACGGCCGAATCTGTACCGAGGAGTCCCCGATGATGATGATGATGATGATGAGTTAGTGAAGAAGAGGAGACGCCCCCGTCAGGATCAGTGCAGGTAGTCAAGTCACACAGGTGACTGTACAACTTCCGGTCTAAACCTTCAAAATAAAGCTCAGATTTAAAAAACAACATGGCAAATAAAAATGAAACTAATGTAGTGCACCGCTCTGTGTGAAATATGATTTAAAAAAAGAAGAGAAACATTTAAATCAGTCAGATCACTGCAGTCAGCACTGAGACAATACACGTTAAGATGATCATTTACATGCAAATAAATGACTATGAGAATTTTAATTTAATTGTCTCTACGCTGTTTAATTAATATACAAATCCTGTCAGCAGAAGTTTAAGAAGTATCACATACACCTGTTATAATCCTTGTTTCTGGGGGATTATAAATTCAAACTATAAAAATAAAGTTGGCTGTTGAATCAGAGCTTTTATTTTGACAGCATCATCCGGTCCGTGTTCGGGTCTCGTGCGTGGTCTCGTGTCAGCTTCAAGGTGGGACTACTACGTCACTTTATTGAATCGTGACTCCGTTAGAAAAAAAATAATGTGGAAGTGTAAAAAATAACTTTAGTGTAGTTTATGACCTGGTTTATTGTAAATAACTGTAAACAACTGTAAACAGGTTTAATGACACACACACACACACACACACACACACACACACACAGATGTTTGACAGAGAAATGATGAGAAACAAGTCACCATCACACAGTGTCGTTATAATTATGTAATTATGGACATAGATTTATTACCCCCAGAAAAAAAATCAAAATGTATAAACTCATTTCCTCTTAATGTTCTTATCATGAGCAGGTACAGCTACAGATATACAGTGAAGGTAACATGTGGCTGTGATTGGTTTGTTTCCACTCGGCTCAGTTTACGACACAAACCATTCAAACGTCAGACATTTTACTTCTTAGAGATTTATAGCTGTATTCAACTTTATTCTACTTTTTATGTCTTTAAAACACAAAGCTCCAGATTGTAATGTATCTCAGCTCTGAAGCTTTGTTCACTTCACCTCCAGCTCTGACTGTTTTATATTGAAGCTTCTAGACTTTTCAGCTCTGCAGTCATTTGAGTTTTCACATGTTTCAGGCAGTTTGTTTCATATTTCTGAGTTTCAGCAACGCTTTTAGATTCATTTCAGATTCCAGCATCCACATGCAAATTTAACACTTAAACAATTAAAGTTTATGTCATTATCAGTTTAGTTTATTCCCTCCTGTTTCTGAATATATTTTATAAAGGATGTATGTTGAAGTTTTGAATCTATAAGTTCAAGTCTAGATTTGGATGAATATCAGTGGTGTGGTGGTGGCCGATGAGGTGGCCGATGAGGTGGCTGATGAGGTGGGTAGATTCTGTGTGTGAGCTTCACTGCATTGCCTATAGTCCCCATTTGTTCTTGTGTAGATTGTGTGTCATTTGTTCATTTGTAGATGCTGAGTGTATATTGTTGTGTGATGGCTTCACTGCATTGCCCACACTCCTATTTATTCATGTGTGTATATTTTGTGTAGTTTGTCCATGTGTGTGATTATTCTGTGTGTAGTTTATTCATGTGTGATGCTGTGTGTAGATGCTGTGTGTAGTTTGTCGTGTGATGGCTTCACTGCATTGCCCACACTCCCTCTGTTTTTACCCACAGCACCTTGTTTTCAACATGGAGGCTGAAAAACCTCCGCACACAAATCTGTTTATGTAGCTGAAGAACAGCTCTAACACGTCCTGAGTCACTCTGACGCGTCTCACACACACTCTCGATTTACTGTCGTTTGACTCTGAACCTTAAATATTTATTTCTTTTAACGCCGCGGCGCATTTTCACCCGAAAGCCCGACACAATACGAAAACCGACGCGGAATGGCGTCTGCTAGGGGCCCGGGAGTCTGAATAACAGCAAACACGCAGTGTGGACTGACCAATCAGAGCGGGAGCTGGGATCCCTTCAACCAATCAGCGTGTCTGAATCCGGAGTAGGCGGGCGGAGGATTATTGGGTCATACATGTTCCCGGTGTGCGGAGCGTTTCCTGCACTGGTGCATGGTGGTCGAACAGGAGGAATTGTTGGAAATTTTCAGAGGTTAGTATATAAATTGGTTTTTACCCAGTATGCATTATTCCCACAGCCATGTCCTCCCGGAGCGAGGGAGCGAAAGGCTGCGGCTCGGACCCAGAACAGGGACGGAAACACGGTGAAAGATGAAATAAATGAGACATCCACCGAGTCAGAACGATATGTTATCATTAATTAGCTCGTTGTTGTGTCCGAACTGCGGCGCTTCTTTTAGCAGCTCTGTAGGAGCTTCATGGAGACAGTTAGCTAACCCTGCAGCTGTCACACACTCAGCTCACACTTCATTCATTAACTTATTATCACCGTTTCATCACCAACGAGACAACCTGCTGAAATACAGTTTGATAATAAACCAGTAAAAAAGACGTGATAGCTCCGGTCTGCGTAGTTAGCAGTGCTGTTAGCATGGAAGCTAACTAGCCTTCAGTCCGCTAGACACCCGGTTTGAAAGCTGCTGTCAGAGAGCTAACAGCACCGTTAGCCTTCACAGCAGAGAGCCGCCTCATCACACTGAGACACAACGTTTCATTACACAGGGACTAATGTGGCGAGTCATTGTTGTGCTAACAGCGCAGCTAGCTAGCCTCCAGATGCTACATTCGAAATAACAAGCGCCAAAGAACAGCAGCTGACAGAAGAAATATACAGAGGTGGAATGTAACTGAGTACTTTTACTCTGGTACTGTAACTAAGTACACAGTTAAGGTACCTGTGTGTTACCTGAGTATTTCTATAATCATGCCACTTAACACTTATAATATTATTTCACCACATCTCATAGTTTAATACAGTGATTTCTACTCCTCCACATTTCTCTGACAAGTTGAGTTAATCTACAGATTAAAGCGATAGTTTTGATTTTAAAGGTGGGGTTGTACAAGGTACTACACCTGTTATTAAGAATACCTAGATTCACAAGTTGGCAGTTATCTGGAATGTACTGGAATTTCTCAATTGTGAGATCAATAAAGGTGTATCTTACCTTACCTTATCTTATCTTATCTTATCTTATCTTACTGTCTACATTTGTTTATCTACAATATTTGTTTGAAGAAAGATATTTGCACGTCCACCTGTCTCAGGTGCAGGTGTGTTGTAAAATATCACCTGAGTCTCTCAACAGAAAATCTCTCAGACTGCTCAGCTTCATTAACGTTTGGTCCTCCTGGAGTTTTGTCACGAGTTGAACACTCTTGATGAAGCTTCACAGCTTATAAGTGTCATATGAAGAGGTAAACAAGGACCTGCTTTGGAGTCAGTAGAGCTCAAGGGCCCCAAAACTCTGAGGTGTAACGTGTATGTTTATTTATTTATTTTCAGGAGCATCACTCATTAATCAACATCACTGTAAATGTACCAGTGTTAGTGTCATTTTAAACTGTCTCTCAGCCAGATGCTACATCAGCTATCAAACAATAATTAAACACACAACATGTAAAATTAGGGAACATTTTATGGGTTAGTCCACCAACATGTATACAGCCCCTTTCATACAAGAAATGCAGCACAAAGTGCTTTGCAATGACGGCAGTATAAGCACTGAGTGCTTCACGTGAAAACAGACATAATGAACATAAAAGAGACTTTAAAAAATCACAGAATTATAAACTATAAATCAGAAAATCAAGTAAGATGCAACATTTTAAAAGTTGCAGCAGCATGAAGCATAAAAAGAAAAGTATATGCAACATTTAAACAGCTTATTAGTGAAGATTCAACAGTTTGAGTCTGTAGATGTTCATCTGTGAGTGTGTGTGAAAAGTTACTTCATATTGTCAGATTTTTGTCATTGAACTTTTCATGAATGTGAGTAGTTCTAGTTCACCTAAATTATTGTGAGAATATGTTCATGACTTGTCAGATAAACACTGTAAATAGTCTATTAAACATCTACAGGAGAAAGTGAAACAATTGAATTGTTGAATCTCATCTAATAAACTGTTGAAGTGTCGCAGAGACTCTGTTAACTGTCTGAAGGTGGACTGTACAGATAAAGGGTGACCAAAATTAGAGATGCACAATATTGGATTTTTTTGCTGATATGGGACATGTCAATATATAACAATTTATCTGACTGATTACCGACATAATATTAATTAATAGTAATTAATAAAAATAGTCATATTCATTCATTGTGTACATTAAGAAAAAAGCATGTTGGCCAATTCTGATGGCGCGTGTGTGTCTGTGTCCTCTGTGTGTTGTCCTGACCAGTGGACACCAGTATAAGTCCTGTGTGTCCTCTGTGTGTCCCCTGCAGCAGCTGAAGCATGCTCTTGGCCCAGATCAACCGGGACTCGCAGGGAATGGCAGAGTTTCACGATGCAGACGGGCAACCGGTCACTCTCTGTCTGACAGAGGCCGTGACTGTGGCAGGTGAGCGTTCTTCATCAGACTCATCATCGTTGAAACACAGGACCAGAACGCAGGCTGATAGAACTGGACAGTTTTTTTATTTCATAGTTTTCAGATGATCACTCAGCAGATTAACAGGAGTGTACAGAGTGTATCTTCAGGTGAACAGCCTCAGATTAAAGTTTCCGTTCCTCCTGAATCTGACGGTTGAAGTATTGTCTCTGTTGAATAATGTTTCTAGATGGAGATCAGATGGAGAGCATGGACACAGTGAGCCTGCAGGCCGTTACTCTTGCAGATGGATCCACCGCGTACATCCAACACGACTCCAAAGCTTCATTCTCAGATGGACAGATCATGGACGGTCAGGTGATCCAGCTGGAGGACGGCTCTGCTGCCTACGTCCAACACGTGTCCATGCCCAAAGGAGGTAAAACCAAAGATCTGAAGGCAGTCAGTCATGTGTGTTTCATCTGGATGACATGATGTCGTCTCACTCCTGTGTACACACTGTAAAGATATCAGCAGACTCCAGATAAACAGAGGTCACTGTTGTTGTTGTTGTTGTTGTTGTCGTAGGAGGAGACAGTTTACAGCTTGAAGAC